AAGATTGTCAGAGCTTTTAACAATTTTGATTAAATGTCCAAGCTCTTTTAGTAATAAATGAAGTAATGTAGAATGAGATGAGTATTGATGGTTGTAGCTACGTTTTCGAGTTATTTTGTTAGGAATTGAATGTGTTGCAATATTAATGATTGCATATTAAATTTTATGCCAAGTAGTTTCAATGCTTTCATTAGTATTGCTATTAAGTGAAGTGTTGTGTAGATTAAGATTATGAAAAAGAAGGTCTTAAAATTCTGTTCATTTTTCTGGTGACATAGCCTTGTAGTTAAAAATTATATGGCTAATATCAGTGTGATGTCATGGTGGTTTGCTGTATGCATTTGTATAAGTCCAAGTAGATATAAGGATAGAGTGGTCACTAAGTGTAGAGGAATTACTATCATCAAGTTTATATGAAAGAAAGAATTGGATGTTAAATAAGTCAGTCCAGATATAGGTCATTCTCAAGCACCTACCTCTATGATTTATAAAGTGATCTGATTGGCTAGAAAAAATAGATCATGATAACTATCTAAATCAAAAAAACCTGGACTTAACACCTATCTTTTTTTTTCATAGTTACATTGATTGGCTAAAAATTTCTATTGATAGAGTAACTAAGAAGATTGCTTAACATATATTTCTTTCCTTTTTATTTTTATATGTATTATAGATCTTTAACAAAACTATCACCAGTGACAAAGAATTATTATACTACTCTTCATATTAGAAACCCTTTTATCCAACCAAAGATACTTGAATACTCAAATGCAAAGAACAAGCATCTATTACCTTCTTACTTTTAATTATGTAATATTGAATTCAGTTATTCCACTCGCTTTTTCTTTGCTCAATACAAGAGCACAACACCAACTAAGACCCAAAACTGGAGGGTTTTGGATTGAAGTTTTTACATTTTTAGTAGATGGGGAAGGTTACAACTCTTTTCGGCAGCACTTTCATATTAATTTAGCTACTTTTCAAGCTATTGTGGCTCGTTTAGAAACTCATCCAGTTTTTATGTCAAACACACCTAATGCAACACCTGTGTGGAAACAGGTTGCAATTGTATTATGGCGGCTAGCAAATGGGGTTGGAATACGAATGCTAGAGCAAACATTAGGCATAAGCCAAGGATCTGTAAGCCACTTTACAGACTGATTTTTAAAGGCATTACTAGATTTGGAAAACGATCGAATTGCATAGCTACAAAGATCATGTTTAGTAACTGTAATACGAGGATTTGAAAATAGTGAAGCCGAATTTGAAAACCCTAAATTACCAAATGTTATCAGTGCAATGAATGGATCTTATATACCTATTTATCCACCTTCTGAAAATGGTGTACGATATGTTAATCATAAAAATTTTCATTTTATAAATCTTCTGGCAGTTGTTGATCATGAAGGGCATTTTACATATATACATGCTGATGAAGCAGGCTAGTAATTTAATTATACTTTAATTTATTTATTTGGTTTTTTTTTATTTTTATTTATTTTTTTTATATTTTATTTTATTTTATTTTATATTTTTATTTTATTTTTAATTTATTATAGGAAGTGTACATGATGCTTATGTGTTTTATCGTTCTTTCCTTTTTCATGAAATTTTATCGAATACTGAATTGTGGGTTTCGGGTGGTACTTACATTATCACTGATACAGCATATCCTCTTCGAACGTATTTGATGAAAGCATACCCTGATCATTACGCACTAACACAACGAGAAAAACGTTTTAATAAAGTTTTATCATCAATAAGGATGGTTATTGAACATGCATTTGGGTGCTTGAAGGAACGATAGAGAATTTTATTAAATAAAATATATTGCACTGATATGGAACGAATTATTAAAATTATACATGCATGTTGTATACTACATAATTTCTGTATTGATATGGGGGATTTATTTTTTTTAGAAGATGGTGAATTAAATAATAATATAAATAGTAATGAAAATAGTATAAACGAAGCTATATCAATAGATGAAGCAAAGGAAGAAATGGTGGGTAATCGAAAAAGAGAATATTTAGCAGATCTTCTTATGAACTTATATTAAATAAGCTTTAATGTTTAATGCAATTAATATTTAGCAATATATTATTGAAATATTCACATTTATTTAGAATTTCAATAGGAATTGTCTAAAAATATCCATCTGTTCATCGTGTTGTTTTTGTTGAACCTCAAAAGCATGCATATACTGATCTCTAATAATTTTTAAAATAACATCTGTTTGATTCTTAATAAGAGCTCGAATTTCTTCAATATTTGATTTTTCTTTATTGCGTGTGCCTTTTTGTTTTTTTACTTCACTCTATATACTTGTAAATATTCGATTAGAATAATAATAATAATAATAAAGGTAAATAACTTTTACCTCATCGGCATCTTGATCTTCAATGCTCTCCTGCATTTTACACTTAATTTCGTGGATTGAATCGCTTGTAATAGGTGCAGTTACACTGGGATCCTTTCTTAAAAATATATCCATATCGTCAAAAAATTCCTAGTCATTTTGAATGGCCTCTTCTCTGGTAGTTGAAATTCTATCTTTGATATCACGATATTTTTGAAGAAGCGCATCCTATTTCTGCTGAATTGATGTCTTTGTGCATTCTTTTAAGACTGAACTTGCAGCATCAGAAGTTTGTATATTTGAAGTAATCATATTCCAAATTCAGCCTTTTTCTCTTAGATCTCTTACATTTTTTAACTTTTCTTGATATCTTCCTACTTCATTAATAAGCATGCGGGTTTCTGTTGAGGTCTATTGGTTAGTTGATTGATTAGATATACTAGACATAACAAAAGCTGATGTTGGATCATGAAAAACAGTGGAAATAGTGGCAGAACTTGGATTAATAGCTATAGGATCAAGAGCCGAAGAATTTTCTTGATCACATGAAATATTTAAAGAAAGCTGAGATAATGAAATCTAAAAAAGTTATTTTTTATGTTTATAAAGTTTGTGCCACTATAAAAATAATCTTTTATCAGTTCATTATATTTAGATGTTAATTCGTTTAAAGAATCCACCTGAAGTTGTGTAGTAGGGAATTGCCATTGTTGTAACAATAAATTGTTTGCTAAATTTGATAAAGGAGAAGGATGGATGGCCGAAGGCAAAGTTTCAGAAGGCAAAGGGTTAGCCACTAAAGGTTTTGAAGCTAAAGGCTTAGGTGCTAACATTTTAGAAGCTGAAGTTTTAGGAGCTAATGGTGTAATCACTTTTTTTCTTTTTGGGAACATTGGTATGATAGTATTGTAATGATAGTAATGTAACAATAGGTAAGATTGAAAATGCTCAAGCAATCATCACGATCATTATTTCAATTGATCATAATGCTTATATGTCATCTCAATCATTATGCAATCACATAGAAGTAGGTGCTTGAGAACAACCTAAGGCTGTTCTCAAGCATCTTCCTTAATGTAATTGGCTAGTGATTGAGATAATGCTCAAGCACTACTATCAATTGATATAAAGATGATAATCAATGCTTGAGCTATCTCTTTTCATCCTTCTATCGATTAATATTATGTCTTCAAAAATACCAAAAAAGGCAACTACTAAATTAGTACCTAAAACTTTAGCACCTAAACCTTTAGTACCCAAAGCTTTTTTATCTGAAACTTTGGTTTCTGAAACTTTTTCTCCAGCTATTTATCCTTTTAATGATTTTACAAATAATATATCATTGCAGCAACAGCTATATTTGATTATATAATATTATACGAATTCTTTAAAATTGAATGAACTGACATCAAGATATAATAAAACAATAAAAATCATTATTTATAATAAAGTACAGAATTTATATATGATATATAAAATTAAATTAATTTAATTTATTATTATTATTATTATTATTTTTTTTTTTTAGACTTTATTTTCACTACAACCATCATTTATTACTTGTGATCAAGAAAATTTATTTGGCTCTGTAGCTGTTAGACCAATTTCTTCTACTTCTCCTAATATCCTTAGTTCAGCATCAACAATTGCAACTTTTAATATATTTGCAAAATTATCAAATTAATGATCATTATCTGAAATACAAATATTTATTGAAGAAGTAGGCAAGCAACAACAAGCATTACAGAGAGTAAAAGATTCAAGAAAAAAAAGTCAAATTTGGAACAAGATTATTACTAATATACAAATTTCTGAGATTGCAAGCTTAGTTTTAAAAGAATATACAAAGGCATTGATTTAACAGAAATAGGATTCACTTCTTCAAAAATATCATAATATAAAAAATAGGATTGCAAGCATAGATGAAGAACCTGTTTAGAATAATTAGAAATTTTTTAATGACATTGATAAATATTTAAGAAAAGATCCTAGCATTACTGCATCTATCACAAGCAATTCACTTTATAGAATTAAACAAAAAAGAGTTGAAGACCAAGATGATGATGAGGTAAAAAGATTGTTATATATTTATTATCTATTTATTCTTAATTAAATTTTTATTTATATTATATAGAAAGATATTAAAAAATAAAAAAGTATATGCGCTGAAAAAGAAAAGACAAATATGGAAGAGTTTCATACTTTGATCAAGGAACAAACTGAAACTATTACTAAAATTATAAATAATCAATACATTAATATTTCTGAAATGCAACAGAAACAACATAATAAACAAATAGATATCTTTAGGCAGTTCTTATTAAAATTATAAATGATAATATAATACTGATAGTGCGGTAACTTAGTAAAGTGAATAGGTTGTCAATTTCTAAGTGACAAGTCTAAAGTTCAAATCCCAGTGATGATGAAAATTTGCAATTCTTTCTGTATTATAGCTAACTGTCTTCTGTAATTAGTTGGGATAAGATATCTGTAACCTGTATTATACCAGTATGACTAGAAGGTCTAGGCACTTGTACAACATTGTACAAGGGAACACAAACTGGTACTGGACAGTATGAATCTAATATAAGTCTTTAGGCCATGTAAATCACAAGAACCAGATAGGAAGACAGAAGCCCACTTGAAAGACCTGAGTAGGAAGGTAACCTGAATCTTCGATGATGCTACTGTAAAGACTAAACTTATAAAACAAAACTAGAACTTATGAAACTAAGCAATTGTGCTAGTTTTTGAGAAGAGACCAGATGAACCAATCAGGCTGCCAGAATTTCCGAGTTTTGAAGAAAAAGTGTATATATTGGCAAACATGTAAACCAGAGATATGGTCTCATCTTATCTTTCTAGGCTATCTGGAATGGCAGCTTGGTAAAACTTGAATTGAATACCAAAGTAGTAAGGATATGTTGTGAAGTTAGTACTGGGGTTGAGGTGAACTTTACAAGAGCATAGCAGTTTAATGATATGTCCTGACCACTAGTATTGGTCTCAGTTATAGCGATACTAAGTCAGTTGTAAGAATAGGATACAGAAGATTCTGAAAGGTTTAGTATAAAGTCAAAGGTTTCTCATATGAGTAAATTGCTTTAAAGACTTAGTGGCCATGGTATATTTTCACTAGCATCAGCTAGGATTGTTGGTAGGCAAAAGTAGGCGAGTAGATATGGAAACAGAATGGTTAAATAGAGAACCTAAAAGTAGGTTCTAGGTATGGCAGCTAGTATAAAACCTTTGGGCAGACTACTTAAATTAGACAATAACTAAAATTGTATGAGTGACTAGTTGTACACTCTTTCTATGATTGCCCTCTATAATTGTAATGCAATCATTAGCCAAATATACTATTAATAAAATTCTAGGTCACAAGTACTCACCTTAATATTTAAAAAAAAAGATAATATAATACTGTAATACTGTATAATGATGCAATTTTTAAAATATATATATATTTAATTAATGCAAGCAATGTAATAAATAATTTTATTACAAGTTCATAAAAAGATTAGCTAAATAATCTCTTTTTTGAATGCCTGCTGTTTTTTCATATATTTTATTTGTTGCTTTGACTTTATCTTCATAATTTATTTCCTCATCATTAATATCTTCTAAAGATAGTACATCTCCTATATCAATACAAAAGTTGTGTAGAATACAATATGCATAAATTATCCTTATAATTCATTTTATATTAGTACAGTAAATTTCTTTAAGTAAAATTCTTCACTGCCTCTTTAAATGTCCAAATGCTTGCTTCACAACCATTTTTATTGATGAAAGAACCTCATTAAAGTGTTATTCATGATTGGTCAACATATAATAATCAGGATACACTTTTATCAAATACATTTTAAAAGGATATACTGTATTAGCAATAATATAAGTATCATCCAGAACTCATTGTTCTGGATTTAAAGAAATTTTATAATAAAGAAAAGAATGATAAAACACACAAGCATTATATACACTTCTTATGATTAAAAAAAAAAAAGTTAATAAAAATTAGTAAAATATTTTTTTAAAAAAAAAACACAAAAAAACAGTTACTAGTCTGCTTCTCCAACATGTATATAAATAAAACACCCTTGATAGTCAATAATCTCAAAAAGATTAATAGAATAAAAATTTTTATGATTAACATAACATGATCTATTTTTAGAAGGTGCATGGATCAGTATATGGGATCTATCTATTGCTCCAACCATATTAGGCAATTTACAATTTCTAAATCTAGTTTCATCATATTCAAACTCTTGAATTACCATTGTCAGTTATAATCTCTTCAGCAATAAAGTTCATTCTTGTTCCAAATCCAATAGTGCTTTTAAAAATCTATTAGTAAAATGACTTACAGACCCTTGGCTTATGCCAAGAGTCTGCTCTAACACTTGTATTTCTATATTATTTGCTAATTACCATAACATAATTGCAATTTGTTTTCATACTGATGTTGCATTCATAGCATTTGACATACAAACTGGGTATGTTTCTAAATGAGAAACAATAGTATAAAAAGTGGCATGAGTAATATGAAAGTGTTGTCAAAAAGAATTATAACTATTATTATTCATTAAACATAAAAAAATATTTGTTCAAAACCCTTCAGTTTTAGGTCTTTTTTGATTTTGCATTCTTGTATTAGATAAAGAAACAAGATATAGAATAATTATATTCATTGAAATATAACTAAAAGTAAGAAGATAGTAGATATTTATTCTATGCATATTAATATTTATTTTTTTTTATTTGCAATAAGAGTTTTTAAAATAAAAAGTATCATGATAATTTTTTTGTATCGATTATTATGGTCTTGTTGAAGATCCATATTTATTTTATTAATAAAAAAATTTTTTAATAAAAGAATATGTTTGAGTGGTTTTTATCATTACTTTATCAATAGTAAATTTTAACCAGTTAGTGCAGCTCTATAAAAAAAATTGATGATTGCAGCTTCAGGTTTTTTGACCTAAATGATAATCATGATCAATTTTTTCAACCAATCAGATTGTTCTATAAATCCAGCAAGGTAGGCACTTGAGAACAGCCTAAGTCAACTAACATCTAATTGACTTATAACACTAGTCTAGTTCTCTGTATATACATATATTAACAAAATATTCAAGATTTTACTATAATAATCATACAGAAAAGAGTTTTTTTTTATAATAAAATTTGAACTTTTATATTATTTTAAAAAAATATACTTGTATATATGATAAATTTTGCTTAGAAAAGTTTAACTTCTATATAAAAGGTTTCATCACAAAATTTTAGTTGAATATATTTAAAGATTAAATATTAAGTAAATTAAAACTTGCACCAAACTCTGATTTTTGTATACTTTGATCTGATAATCGACATAACTTGTTACAGATTTAGTACATATGAAAATATGTTATATTCATCTATAAATTCATTAATTATAAAATTTTTAAGGTTTGTTGATAAGTTTGTAAGAGCATTGAATTAATTTTAATATCATATAATATTAGGAAAACAAATGTTAAACTAGAAAAACTTCATTTATATTCAGATTAGGGTTTAATCTTAAATTCAGAAAGGCAATAGGAAGATTATGTAACAGTAGAATCGATTTTATGCTCTGTTTGTTAATTTGTGTTAAAGTTATTTACTTTATCTTTATTTCTTGTAGTTAGAGAAATGAAGACCCTAATTTATTCGTAATAGAGATGTAACAATGCATGAATAAGGATATTCACCTTGTTGAATAATTTTCATCATTGACTTTTTTTCACTTTGTCTGAATTACTTTTTTTTTTTAAGATGCATAATAATAATGTTATTAATACTTGTTTAGACTACTGTTATTAAAAAGAACTTTTTTAAAAAACAATTTCTACAAATTATATAATTT